AAGATTGCTATGCGACATTAACGGTCGCAGAAAAGCAGACGCAGGTTGTAAATTCGTGATGCGGTTCTATGACGTCGTACCATTCGAGTGAACGAAATATTAACAATAGAACCATATGGCTAGATGCAGTGTAATGTGTTGTGACTAGTTTGAAATTTTATTTTGTTGAGTGTGGGTTGCTTTGTTTTAATGTAGATGGCCTCCAATATCTGAAGGTTTTTTTTATTGTGTATGTGTGAGTATTATTGTGTTATTGATATATATATATATATATATATATATATATATATATATATATATATATATATATATATATATAGGACGAAACGGCCGTCCAGTGCTTTCTGCATTCTGTTGAGGTTTCTATCAGACTCGATGAATTAAATTATATATATATATATATATATATATATATATATATATATATATATATTTCAGAATTAAAATCTTCACGGTTTCAGCAATAAAATTACTAATAAAAAGCAGAATAAGATTTTCTCTGAACTTTAGATACATTGGTAGTGAAAATTTAAACTTTAAAAGTTAAACATCAGTGTATTGTAAACAATGCAATCGCTGTTTTTTGTGTAGGGGATTTGATTTCATTAATAAAAATGGTTGTTAGAAGACACCTTTTACTGTACGACACAAATCACAAGAAAAATTTCCGTTTTGCCATTTATTTACTACACACACACACACGCACGCACACACACACACGCACACACACGCACACACACACACACAGAGGCACATATCGTACGTTTGGGCAGAAATCCTTCTTTTAGGCAAATTTCGTTGAATATGTAAATTTTTTTTCAGTATTTCTTTTTCAATGTGTAGAAACTTTCCACAGTGATTATAGTCCAGTGCACTTTCAGTTCCTTTTTGAACCATTTTCAAATGGTGGTGGTGGTGGTGGTGGTGCTGGGGGGGGAAGTACACTTTCAAATGGGGTGGTTAAATACACTTTCAAATGGGGTGGAGGAAGTACATTTTCAAATGGGGGGTTAAGTACATTTTTGATTTTCATTTTATATCATATTTTATAGCATATTTTTGTCTTTCTATTCTATGCTGAGTAGAAGTCATTTCATGTTGGTGTGCCTTGCTGAGCGTTCATAACACAGCAATTACTTTACGGCTAGTTTAAAAGCAAGAAATGTTAAATGTCGGTCTGTATTTTTTATTTTTAAAAGTCTTTTACAATTAGGTGATTTTAAAGTGACCATATCTACAAAGAATTTTCTTATGGGTGCGGGGAGTTGGGTATGGACGTTTAAGTGCTTCCATAGCAAACTAAGATAACTGAAGTGGTTAGACGCCCGCTGTGACCAAATGTATTCGATCCTGCTTTTATTTTTATCACAAGGTTCTCAGCTTTGCAATGAACAATAGAAATTACATTGGTCATCTGACATCAGGATATCATAGAAGTGTTGTTATTGGTAATTGTAATGTTGGCAGTTTTGAATTTTCCCTATTTTGTTGGTGGTTTTACACGTTTGCTGGGGTCGACAGGTGAAATCCATTGTTTTATCGTCGCATGGCCAATTCGTTTTGTTTATAAGTTTTATGCATTTTGTTGCAGTAAAGATGTTAATGTTCTGTTGTGGCGTTTAATGTCTGTAGGAATGATGTCATTTGGTTATCGATAATGTGGTTGGGGGAACTGCATTATTTATAACCAAATAAAAATAGAATTAATCAGACTAATAATGGTTTTATTGATGGATTACATATATGGCCCATCAGTCACACACACACACACACACACACACACACACACACACACACACACACACACACACACACACACACACAAATGACTGCAGTTTGTTTGAAAAAACAGTACTCAATGTATACAAGAAAGCTAAAATCTATATTAATAGTAAATGTACATTTTGTTCTCTTTCTCGTTTGGTATAACTTTGATTTTTATGCACATAACAAACATCAGGAATGGATTGAAAACTGACTGTTCTCAGTCTTTAGTCAATGCCTGAAGATTGTCTATAAGCAAACGAGGAGGAACAAATTGTATATTTTTATTGTTATATATATATATATATATATATATATATATATATATATATATATATATATATATATAATAACAATAATAAATATACATTTTGTTCCTCCTCGTTTGCATATAGACAATAATATATATATATATATATATATATATATATATATATATATATATATATAATTATACAATTTGTTCCTCTTCTTTTACATACAGACAATTTTAGGGGCATTATTTTATATACCAAGAACAATTTTAGGAGAGGAGATTTTTTTCCACTTTGTCATACTTCTTTTCTTTATATATATATATATATATATATATATATATATATATATATATATATTAATGGTTTAACCACATAAAAAAAATTTGCTTCGACAAAAACAATTATTTGTCTTAACCATTATAACCATGAAAATGATACTGGAGTATATCGAAAGTACTCGGAAAAATAAATGCTCTTTCTAATCATGGAACAACAAAGATTATACTTGATTACGAAGAACACACACGCACACAAAGACACACACACACAAAGACACACACACACACACACACATATATATGTATAAACCTGACGATCCGTATAGATGAAACCTAGGTAGGTTTACCTGGCTCTTTAGGTTCATATTTAGGTTTGCTCTACTTAGTGTATTGAGCACTTTATGTAGTTACTTTTGCTTTACTCGTTTTGGAGGTTTTTTTTTTCTTTGGACTCTGGGCTTGAATTCTGGACGATTATTTTCGTCTCAATTTTATGGTCTTAGTTCCAGTCTTTTTTTATCCCTTATTTTCCATTGGGCATTGGTTTGTTCAATTACAAGGCAAAATACCTAAGGTTTTTCCAAACAAGTATAACTATTTATATTATTATTATTATTATTGTATCGGATGAGACGTGGAATAACCCTGAGACCCGTAATTGTGAGTTATAATTACGGCAAAATCTACGCTGATTGCAGCAAAACACACTCATGAGAATGGCTTCGTCAAGTCAAGTCCGGAAGAAAATCTGGAGTCGTAGCTTGTAAGGTAATACGTGGCTGCATGCATCAATATTCTGCCTACTCTTGTGAGGGCCCAGGGAGCCATATGTAGGTATTTATCTTTTTATTGGATCATTCCAATGAAGCTGAGAGGGTGAAATGTTTTAGAGGTAACGGATTGTCATCCATATTTACTTAATGGGGCCTTGTGCACCGGAGAAAGCGGAAGTAACAGTTTATGAACGGACGCTGTGGCAAAAAGATATCATCTACAGCAGTGTTTCTCAATCTTTTCATCCTTGCGGTTCCGTTTTGGTGTAAATACGTTTTATTTACAAAAGCAAAATTTAGCAGAAAATATAAATCCTAATTAATAACTACACTGCTTCTGGTGTCTCCAGGACCATTTAAAATATTTTTCAGGCCTATATCGAGAATCACTGATCTGGAACATCACTCTATAGTCTACCGCCTAATCAAAAATACGTGGTCATTAGTCTTTTACAAGAATATAATATTGTGGCACCCAGTTAGGACCGAACTAGTTTGCAATACCTCAAATTGCAGTCCTCTCTCACTCTATCTACTTACCGTTAAATTACGTTAAAATGTGATATCTCAAGTATCTCATTTGATCATCGAAGTTAAGCAGTGTCAATCCCAGCTATTATTAGATGGGGGACAACATGGAAACGCCGAGATGATCCAATTACGTTTCGACTTTGAATAACCCACAAACGGTTGATAAACAAATCTATCTATCTATCTATCTATCTATCTATCTATCTATCTATCTATCTATCTATCTATCGTTTTCGTGATCCAAATGAGAGGTAAGAAACGATCATGAAATTTGGGTAACAAAATTTCTTCCCATCTGATATATTCTGACTATCGCTTTTTATTTCACTGTATTTTTCTTTGTCTTATCATCTGTTCCAACAAGTTCGTGATAATGACAAATTCATCGAATCAAAGCGAAATCTTTCTTTTATAATGGAACACGCAATTTATATCAAGGGTGACGTAAGATTATCGAATGTTATAGAAAATATTTAAATTAATTTAATTGTATATCCCTTAATAAACTTTTCAGTAACCTGGTCTGTTTATTAGTTTCAAGTTAGAGTTTGTTTATCTATCTATCTATCTATCTATCTATCTATCTATCTATCTATCTATCTATCTATCTATCTATCTCAGTTCATTCATATATATATCGATTGCAATGGTCAGCAAACTCGTTTAGAGAGACATTTCGCTAGTTTTGTAAATTAGCACCCCCTCCCTTGTGCAGTACCCCCTTGTTGCGATCTTGTTTCATACTTCTGTTAGTCATTTCCTATTACCTTTTTTGATACTTTGTCATGGGATGCCTGATTGAAGTCATTTCAGAGTCTGTGGCATTGGGGATTTGCAAAATTTTCCCTCCCAACTTGAGTTAAATCGGTTCGCCATAACTCATCGAGATATCGACCAGAAATGTAGGTGTGTAGAAATAGGACGGCTGTCTGTAACACTGTTCTCTTTGAATGTATTCGACCGATTCTCTGGGCGAATTGCTTTTATAAGCAGTTGGGTAATAAGAGGTTTGGGCGCGTTGCGGATTGTGCCCAGCTTTAGGGGAGAAGAAATGAAGAAAGAAAAAGAAGGAAAGGAATTATGGAAGACGAATAAAATGGAGTTTGGGAAAATTTATGTGGATAATAAAAAGTTGAAAATTAAAGGGGGAAAAAAAGAAGAAAAAAAAAAAAAAAGATGAAGTATAAAAGAAGGAGAAAAAAAAAACAACAAAAAAACAGAAAAGTATACAAATTTTCTTTCCAGTCTTGAAATGGTTAGTTTGGGTGCGGTATGTGAACAAATGCTTCGCTTAAAGCGTCGAAACAATTTCCCTGGTGAATTTCGAAACATCTCACAATGTTAATAATTGGAATGTTTTGAAAAAAAAAAGAAGCGGGAAAACTGGATGCGTGAAGCTATGACAGTATCAAAGAAGAAGGAGCGAAAAAGAAGAGTATAAAAAAAAAAGGAAAAGAGGAAAAATAGTAGAGGAAGAAGAAAATGAATATAAGAAAATGGAAAGAAAAAGAAGGAGAAAAGAAAAGAAGAAAAACAGTAGAAGAAAAAGTATAAGAAAATGACAATATAGAAGAAGAAAGCGAGAAAGAATAGAATAAAAGAAAGAAAAAGAGGATGGAACAAAAAAGGAAGAAATAAATTAAAAATAGAAAAAGAAAACAGTGAGAAGAGAAAAGGAAAAAAATAGATAAACAATTGAAGGAAAAAACAGCAATGAATAATAAATCATCTAATAAGAAACAAAGAAAATAGGATGGGATTAGAGGTTTACCCGGAAGAATGCAAAAGGCTTAAGTACAATCATGAAAATATTCTTCATTTTATGCGCCAGGATGCAGGCGATCATGGCTCTCCACCTTTCTTTATCCCTTGCAGCTCTCAACAAGTTCCTTCCCTTTGCTTCCTCCCCTAGACCACGTTCTGTCATCCAACTGTCCCCAGCTTGTCTGGTATGTCACGCATTGCTTTCCCTTGTCTCTCTTTCCCTCTATTCGACTCAGGAGTATCAGATTCTCTAGGCCCTCCTTCCTCATTATGTGTCCCAGAAAGTTCAGCTGTCACTTCCTGATGTTAAGTATGAGCTTTTTCCATGTTCGCAACCTTTCTAAGACCTCATCGTTGCTCACATACTCGGTTCATGATATCTTTAGCATCTTTCTGCAGAACCACATCTCCATGGCCTCGAGTATCTTCTTCATCTTTGAGGAAATCTTACGTGGGAAAACCAGAAGATGTTGAAAATAAAGAATTCTTGAACTTTGAGGTTAAAATAATTGGTTTTATAGAGGTCAGAGGATATAACTTGTTTGGCCAGAGGACCCAAATTTTGGCAGATTTTATTATTATTTCTGTTATATACCGTACCTATGAACACTAATATCCCAGTCCTCATAAATATGTCATCGTCGGCATCCGTCCGTCTCGATGCGCTACGAGCCTGGGGCGGGATATATGGAGAACTAGGGCTGCCCGGACGTCTAGTTCCCCCTCTCGGCCTTGCTAGAAGAGTCCAAAGGAGAGGATAAACCAATACAGTTTGGTACCAGCGCAGCTGCAGGATTTGCCAGAAGGTAGCACAAAGTGCCGTCCATCCGCCTTAGGGGCTCCACTCCGGGTTTGAATTCAGAGTTGTCCTTCTTCTAGACCAGTTGCCATCCAAGGCTATAGAACCCAGTCTGTTCTGCTATTTACCCATTCACACCTTTCCCAAAGGTATTAGCATCTAAGTGAATGTAATGGACTCGACTGGAATTCGAACTTGGCTCTCCGATTCCTCAATCCAAGTGGCTATCCATTACTCCACCGTGCCTCCTCATAAATACGTAAAGTGGGGCTAATATCCTCTCTAAGTAGTCCACCACTAGCAGTGGTTTACCTACTTCACGCCGCTGGTGAGTATCGTATTTTGTTGATGTTATAAAGATTATCATTTCCAACCTCCGTTTTTGGTTATTCCTCATTCAGTAACCTTTTCTGGGTTACAACAATTTCGTAACATTTTCATAATAAAATTGATATTAACCCAAACTTTTTGGATCTACTTATATTTATATATTAAACATACCACGTGAATTTCCGCTTATAACAGAAGTTAGTGAAGGAAAGCAAGAAGAAATGACTAAACATTACAAAAAAACGCAATGCATGGTTGTTAGCAAAAGAGACAGCCCAACATGAAAATTACAAATTGGACAAGTAAAACAATTTAATTATCTGGGAAGTGTTTTAACAGAGGACGGAAAGAGCGGTATTGAAATCCGAAGGAGCACTGGGATAGCGAAAGATATCTTTAAAAAGCTAAGCAAAATATTAAGAAACAGAAAAAAATGTTAGAAACAAAGAAGAAAGTACTGAACTGTTACGTAATACCAGTACTCCTACATTGCAGTGAATGCTGGACAATCTCCTCAAAGATGAAGGAGAGACTTGAAGCAACAGAAATGTGGCTCTACAGAAGTATACTTAAAATACCATGGACCAAATATGTGGGCAAAAATGAAGTTTTAGAGAAAATGCAAACAAAAAGGACACGTATACTTTGCATCAGAAAGACATTTGAAGTTTCTAGAGCACATAATGAGGAAAGAGGGCTTGGAAGATTTGACACTCACAAGATTGAAGGCAAGAAAGAGAGGGCAAAACAACGCATAACCTACCTAGCGAGTAAAGAGTAAATGGATGGTAGAAAAGGCTTTAGGAGAGATAATAGATTGTCAAAATTTATTATGTACAGAAAGGACAGAAAAATATGGAGAGCCGTGATCGCCAACGCCCTGAAGGGACACGACATATAGATGAATTTCAGCTTATATTATGAGTTTTAAATAAAGCTAACTTATTTCGTCGTGTAAGCTTTTTTATGCAGCTAGTGTTAATCATTTTTTAGATGAATACAATAGCAAAGTAACTGATATTTATTTTTTAAACTTCACACATATAAAGAGTGATATGGGTTGTATAAATCGTATAATCTCAAATGAGAAGCAAGATATTGTAAAATTAGTGAAGGGAGAAAAATATTGGAATTCATAAAATTATTGACGAATGATCCCAAAATAAAGTAGAAAATATTACAAAGAGAAGAAAAAAAACGACATTAAGAATTTCACAAAAGAGATTAGTGAAAAATGAAAAGCAAGAGAATTGATGTGATTAGTGAGAAAATACCAAAAAGAAGCTGAGTGTATTAAGACCATTGGTTAAAGGCATGAAAACAACAAAACCATTACCTTCAAGTAAACGTCACAAACGAAAATATGTAAATTTGAGCGAACAACATGATAACAGATTTCTCAACAGTAATTCTTAGTATTAAATATAAAGTTACATGAGTTGATCCTTGGATAGATGTTGAGTTTTTTATTGACTTAGAAAGGAGCAGTAGGGAGGTGGAGTAATATTTTGTGTTAATAATGTAGGCATTAAAAATAAAGGTCCTGTCACAGTTAATACTTGTATCTAGATAAATACAGACACTTATTGTGAGTTGTTTTTGTGTAGTCCAGGTCAAAAGCGAGAAATTTAAAGCTAAAGAACGTCTTCATGTAAGTCGATATTCCTTCACTTTCTGCAAAACTGATCACAGAAAAGTTTTAAAGACCCCGAATTAATGGCATGACTTTCAGATAGAATCCAATAAAAAATTGTTACTAGTCAAATATATATATATATATATATATATATATATATATATATAATATAAAAGTCTCAAACATTAATATTCCATGGTTCTAATTTATTACATTGGAATCGTAATTACAATCCTATTCATCAGACCTACAAATCTATCTATCTATCTATCTATCTATCTATCTATCTATCTATCTCTATATATATATCTACAAATATTACGATCCAATTCATCAGACCTACAAATCTCTCTCTCTCTCTCTATATATATATATATATATATATATATATATATATATATATATATATATATTTAAAAATAAGTATAGATATTATAAGCGGAAACTAATAGTATATTTTGCTCAAATAAAAATTGATTGATTGATTCGTTTTCTACAGCTTTCTAGGTCATTCAAAGCCAGAAAATAATTTTTTAGGTTATAAGAATTTTTATCTTTTTTGTCAATAATAGTTTAGTGGTACCATTCTTACTAGTTAACCCATAGCTAGGGGATAAAAGGTGGATTCATACCTTTCCCAAGGGGCTTTGCGCATAAGTGAATTTAACGAACCCGAGTGAAATTGGAACTCGATTGTCCGATTTCGAATTCCGTTATCCATTACACCAGACGCACATCCAAGTTTACAGCACTTAATATTCTCAAGTGGTCACCCATATATATGTACTGACCCGGCTCGACGTTGCTTAACTTCAGTGATCGTACAGGAACTCGTGTTTCAACCTGATTTCGCCGTAAGCTTAAATAGATATTTGAGTATTCTGAAATATCCTTGGTTGACTAATACAAATTTTATTATGAAAGCAATCCCTTGTTTTATAAATAATGATACAGTGTATGAAATAGTAGTTGTTCCAGCGGAAACTGAAGGACAGTAACAAATGAAAAATGGGGAGATAATCCATGGCGTACTGGGAATAGTCTCAAAACCATTACCAGAAGACTGAAAAAAGTAGAATAGAGGAGGTAAATGTTGAAGAAAAAAAGACTTGCTGTCACTTGACTTACAGTGATAACTGTTGGGTTCCTTTAATAATAATAATAATGATGACGAAAAGAAAAAAAAACGCATACGCATACATATACGCATATATATATATATACGCATATATATATATATATATATATATATATATATATATATATATATATATATATATATTCGTTAAGGAAATAAGATTTTTTATCTATTATTCTCATTCTCGGTTTTTCATTCTAGTGAAAACAAATTAATTGATCAATTTTACAATTCAGTTCGTTTTTTTAATTGTACAATTGTCAGGTGAATCCTAATTATTTACGTATAATCAGGCAGAATTACTTAGGTAATTAAAGAAGCTTATTTTCTTTGTAGACAGTGGGACAAAGGTTGATCGACAGGTGACAGGTAGGATTGTATTCTCACGGAAAATGTTTGCAATGTAAAAAATCATTTAATTGAGAAAATGATAACATGTTTATCCTATGATTGCTGAAGGAAAATGCAAATGTCAGGAAGTCTTTTTCAATTGTGACTGGAGACACGAAGAACTTGAGACGCTTTTGTCAAAGTTGGTGAAGGAAATGGAAGGAATTGTTTTTCGCTTGTAGGTTTTTTTAACACCTCAGTAAAAGACTGGATTCTACTTATTTTTATTTTTTATCAGAGAAAAATTTTTTTCGAACTATTTTCATTGTCCTGCACAGTGTTAACCCTCATCGATTTTTGATATTTTCTTTAATTATGTGATTTTGACCGATTTCGAAAGAAATTTCATAGAAAGAAATTCAAACTCTCTTCCCGTAGTATATTTTTAAGCCATTGTTGTTTTTAGCATTTTGGCTTATATGTTCCCCAAACTGCTTCAAGTATAGTGTTACATCCTATGGCCTTTAGCTATTTCTGATTTTGAATTTTTTTTCTCCAAACGAATGAAAAAGATTCATAAAATTGAAGAAATGAAACTTCATAAATCCTTTATTAAAATATTTCATTTTAATTATATGCGTATATATATATATCATAGAGTAGTTTTAAAATATGAAATTTTAAAATATGGCGCATATGGACTGGAATTCAAAGCAGAAAAATCCACAGAGAAATTCCAAATAATGGAGAATAGCGCAAGCAACACCAGTGCCAGCAACAGCATGGACGGTGAATCACTGGGGGAAGAGTCCAGCTTCAAATACTTGGGAGCAATGCTGTCAAAAGATGGCACCTATAACGTACACGGATCGCCACAGCCACAGTAACGATGGTCAGACTGAAAAGAATATATAACAGCAACATCAGCTTTTACAGCAAGTTCAAGCCCGACAAATCGCTGGTCGTAACCATCCTTCTCTACCGCTGTGTGACTTGAACAATTCCTGGTTGAGCCAGAAAAAAAGCATACAGGCGTTCGAGAACAAATGCTTGAGAAAATACTCCCGCATCTCGGGAACAATGTCTATGTACGGAGTAATGTCAAAAGTCTCGTAGGCAGTCAAAAATTTATCGCCGCCACTATTAAGCGTCGGAAGATGCCATGGTTTGGCTGACAGCTGGGCTGACTCTTTTTAAGGAGACACCAGGAGGATGTTGCAGAAATCGTTTTTAACGATTATCGTTTTGACAAAGAAAGTCATCTGAGTAAAGTGAACCCCGCAACAACCATATCAAACGACCCTGACTAAAAAGATTCACCTGAGTGGAGAGTTCTTTTCGGAATTATTTTTTTTTAGACAAAAGCTGACAGCACAAAGAACGCTGTTTCTCTATAAGACAGCTATATTTAGCTGTCCTCCCACGTGGGGTAGCATGTGGCACAAGGCCGAGTTTAATGTGGGTTATCCGGCCAAAAATATAGCCTGGGCGGGTTCGAGAGCTGTCAACCTCCCCGAACGAAACCTTGCCCTTCGGCAAAGCCTCGTCCGGGTTCCTCCCCGCTAATGCAGACAGTTAGACAGACGGCGGTTGCTGTAAGTTTAATACAGCTATCTCTGTTTCTCTATAAGACAGCGGTTCTTAGCAGCATACATGATAGAGTACCACACGCCAGCGACGCGAAAAGAAAAGCACATGCCCATTAGACCGTTCGCCTCCTCCTCACCTCGCTTGACTCTGCCTCGATATTCTACAGCAGACGATTACAACCAAATAAAATTTGCCGACTGCTACAATTTTTGTCTCATGGTTTTAATTCGTGGCCAAAGAGTTATTTTCCACGTATTAACGTGTTTGACTGGACGTAGCTGAACCTTGAGAATGAACCTGATGTTTGGTCTGAGCTGGAACGCTACACACAGCATAACGGCCTCTGCAAGACAATCATGCAAGGCACTGTTGAAGGAGAACGCAAGCGGGGACAGCAACGCAAAAGCGAGTCAGACATCCTCAAAGAGCAGACGGACATGATAATGCCGGGGACTCCTGAGAGCCAGTTCCAAAGAGATCATCCTGGAGGAGGTTGTCTGGTTTCTTCTGCTATTGGGACACACCCCGGCGATTGAAGCAATCAAGGGACTGATAATGATGAAGATGATGATGATGGTGATGATGATGGTGGTGATGATGATTTTTAAAAGCACAAAACTCATTTCAGAGAAAGAGCTTCTTTGCTCGTGTCTGAAATCAGTTTTATCTAGATTAATATCGGTTATCTACTTGCAACTGGGATAGTTTATGCTTTTATTTTGCTTTGTCCGCAGAAGGCATTTGACCAGAACTCTTTTTTTTACGCTGGGGTCGCAATATATTATTTATATCGATTTGTAACATCCTATTGGCAAAATAACTCATCAGCCACTTCAGAACAATTATTGCTTTTACTGGCTTCATTTCAATCTCCGTCTTTAGGCTATTCGATTCACTGCCAGATTACGAATACCCTTCGTCTTTTATGTTCTGTACTAGACATTCTGTCCTGTAAACTTGCAAAATTTCCTCATAACTGCATATACAACATCACTTAATGGGTGTAAATACCAGGATGTTGTTTACCAGGTGCCACCAAAATTCCATTTATCAGTTGTAATATTGACAACTTGGACGAATATGTGTTACACTAGACTTTGGTATCGAAGAAAGAAAATGAATTTGTATTATGTTCATTACAGAATAGTTATGGGACGTAAAAGGACATATACGGCTTATCTGCCTTTTGTGGGTTATTTAAAGTCGAAACATGTTTTGGATTGTGTTGTGTCGATGCGTGGGCTTATTTCTGTCAAATAAGAACGAACATACAATTCGAACCCTTATTCATTTTATTCACTATTGGATAACAATAGATTTTAATCAATTTTTCTATATTTATAGGTTCTTTTATAGATACAAATATTTAAGTAAATGCTCTGTTTATAATAAACAGTATTAACGACACTTACCAGCCTGAATGTCCGAGAAATTTTCATAAAAAATATGCGTCCTCCGACAGGAATCGAACCTGTATCATATACGGAAACTTGCTAACCGAAACGCTCCTCTGTGGCTAAATCGGTAAAAGCACGTCAGGCTATATGACGGTTCCGTAGAGGATACAGGTTCGATTTCTGTCGGAGGAAGCATATTTTCCATGAAAATTTCTCGGACATTCAGGCCGGTAAATGTCGTTAATACTGTTTATTATAAACAGAGATTTTACTTAAATATTTGTATCTATAAAAAGAACGTATAAACATAAAAAATATCTTAAAATAATTGTCGAACTTTGTCCATTTCATGATGAATAACAATAGATATAGAACATAGCCAGTGGATTACTGGAAGATTAAATAGTTCGATAGGGAACATGTAAGAATGCGTGACCACCATCTTGAAACCTTTTGTCTTCACTGTTCTCCTGGAGAGTTCTAATCAAGGGGCATAACTTGGTTCCAATTTCGGGAGCGAGTTAGCTCCCTTGTTATAACGTCCGTCCTAACAGATTGCAAGAATAATAATTCCTTTTTTGTGAATGTGTATTGCAGCAAGAGATTTTTGAGAATAACAGACACATGTTTTGCTATTTAACCCATAGATGAGGGAGGAGATTGACTCATATATTTTCGAAGGGTATTTGCCCGCAAGTGAAAAGTTTGAATAGAAAAAGAGACAGGAATAAAAAAAAATACGTTTCAGATTGAGGCTCATCCGATCCTGCCAGTTAAATAAACATTCTTATTTACATTATTTAGATTCGGCTAATGTCCTCATCGTTGTTGTTATCATCACAACGTTTCAGTCATTATGATCTTTGGCCTTCTTCAGATTTCTACCGATTCAGGTAACCTTTAGAGAATTTCGAACTGAACCTTTTATTTAATCAGTGAGAACTGTGTTCTCTTTCTGCTAGCTGTGTCATTTATTGTTTGCCCTGTTTCCACTGAGTCTGTACTACCCAACTCATGGATTGAACTCCTAATCACTATGCTACTGAGTTCACGAACAAATATTTGATGTAAGGGGGACAAACCGTGATAGTTTCTCCGGCCCCACTCCTCCAGCTTTTCTGCTTCCGTCAGCGGAAACTGATGTTATATTGCAGAGGGAGATGTTAATCTGAAGGGTATCTTGGATGCTGATTATTTCCCCTTGGTGTGCATCTGGGTCGCCAATCATGATTTTTGCATTAAGCGATCCATTCTTTACGCTCTATAGATAGTTGGAATTATGATATAAATCGGTGATGGTTGGCTTTTGATATATAGATGTTTTGAACCCAAATCCATTCAGTGTATGATATTCGTCACTTTAATTTCACCTTTGTTTTTGTTGTAAATATTCGGTAAAATTAAATGAATAAACAAAAAAAAAAGGTAAAAAAAAAAACATAATAAATAAATAATATAATCAAGAAAACCAAACACGAATGGCATTTACTTAATGATGAACAGATGCCCATAGATCATTGGAGGTTGTCGGAATATCTTTTCCGTATGCCATTAACGGAAAAATTACAAAAAATATTGATTAGGTTGATAATTTTTATTGTCCCTAAAACCCCCCTCTGCTTTTTCTCCTGATCTATTTTCGAAAATATTGAAGCAATTATTTTTCAGAATATGTCAAAGAGAGTGACAGAAAAAAGTCATGCATGTCTATAAGGCATTTTCGCAGGTGGAAACATTCCCACATGAAATTTCATTAAAGCACATGCTATATTGCCATAATATTTTTTCAAGACCAGGGAATTTGTATTTCAAAAGTGAAAATGAAAACATTTGTGTTAAAAAGGGAAAGAAGCATGCGAGTGAGTGCTGAAGACATATCAACTGGATCGGCCCACTTACCCTTAAATCTGACCAAACATCCTTTTTTTTTTTTAGAAAGGGATTCTTGATATACAGGCCTATTTCGCTGTACCACAACTCATCAGTGCGACTAAACAATGTTTCAAGCCAGGATCGAAACCAGACCGATTTGGTATCAGTTGGAGTTTCTACTCCTAATCCATCAGCGCTTTAGCAGAAAGGAAGACGAATTCTAGTGTATTGTTTTACGAATGGAAACAATCGCCAGCCAGCCAGAGTGCTCTATTCATTAATGAAGAGCCAGGCATTATATATATATATATATATATATATATATATATATATATATATATATATATATATATATATATATATAGAGAGAGAGAGAGAGAGAAGATAACAAATCAATTGGTATATAATCCAAGTGGATCCTAGTAATATAAAGAAAAGGGAAAGGACAATGCGAATGAGTGCTGAAAACATCTTAACTGGCTCGGCCCACTTATCCTCAAATCTGACCAAACAATCTTTTTTTAAGAAAGGGATTCTTGAATATATATAGTAAATGCATTTAAGGCAAGCAGTTTTTGCAATAAAGTGTTGAATATCAGAAATAAGGTATTAACATAAATAAAAGTTTGTCACTTAGCTGATTGATGTTACCTTCAGCATCCCGACTCCAGAGTTTCGTAGAGTGACTCGTCCGTCCATTCGTCACGAGGTATCAGCAATTGACTTAGTGGAGGAGAGGGAACAAATATTCGTACACATACAAATTTTTAATTTATTGTATTTCTAATTAAACATACCTTTCATATAATTAACTGTAAACAGATGCATGATAACTAAATATGCATAAAAACAGAAAAAATTGATTTAATAGAAATCCATTTTAATGGATGAAAAAAGTATTTGTATAGTACAAAAAAAGGACTACATAATCTTCATTTAATACTTTGTAGAATAGCCATTATTCACTTCTACAGCAACCAACCTCTTCTTGTAGTTCTCAATGATTTTCAAATTTTAGTTGGTATTTTGTTCCATTCTTCTTTGTATATGGTCTTCAGATCTGGAATGTTTGTTGGATTTAAATTTTCAAATAACTCTACAGATTCTCAATTGGGTTTAAATCTGGGGACTGGTTTAGCCATTTTAGTAAATTTACAATTATTTTCAGCAAGCCATTTCTTCGTAGATTTTGCAGTGTGCTTAGCATCATCATCTTTTTGGAAGATCCAATCAGGAGGAGGTTCAAGATTTTCAACCGAAATCGTTAAATTTGCTTCCAAAATATTTTGATCTGCTCCGGCATTCATTCTACCATCTATTACTGATATGTTGTCAGTACCTTTTGCAGAAAAACTTCCCCAAACCATGATGCTGCCATTACCAAATTTCACTGTTGAAACTGTGTTCTTTTGTTTGAAGGCATCGCCATCTTTCCTCCATACATGATTTCTAGAATGACATCCAAACAACTAAATTTTGGTTTCGTCTGCCCCTCTTTCCCCAATTCAATTTTTATTTATCCTTATGTTCACGAACGAATTTCAAACTGACATCTCTGTGTCTTTTCAATAGCAATGGAGTTTTCCGAGGGGAGCATGACTTTGGATTGTTTCTATGAATTTCATTGCTTATTGTCTGTTTAGTGTCACAGATTCCTGATGAAAGCAAATCATCCTGCAGTTCTTAACAAGTAACCATTGGATTTTATTTAATTTGATGCATTAATTTCCTGGAATATCTTGAAGAAATCTTCTGTGGAACACTGGTTCTTCTTTGGTTTTCAACAGTTTTGAGTTTTTAAACCTTGCAATGATTGAACTGATGGTAGTAAATGGAATATTCAGTTTGTCTGAGATTTTCCTGTAACTTTTACCTTTGTTCTAGAGATTAGCAGTCAGTTCTTTCTTTACCTTTTGCCATAACCTTCTTGCCCGAATATCAATTACAGAATGTTCTGTTTTGTATTTTTCTAGGCTAAAAATAAATAGCTAACATTATTGAAATGTTATAGACTATTCCACGTCAATAATCTAGAGTATTAAAGCAATTTAAAAGTTTTAAAATCTGAAATTTGCATTGTACGAATACTTTTTTCATACATTAAAATGGATAAATGGGATTTATTTCTAATGAATCAAAACGCCATTAAGCTTTTTGTTCAATTTTTCTTTTATTCGTAATGTATCTTCTTTTCTGGATATAAAATTTTTAAAAACTGTCCAAATTTTCGATATATCCGAGCGCTTTCGGCTATTCTATTAGTCATTATCAAGGATATTTTTTGTATTTTTAAGCAATAATAATAACAACTGAATATTTAAATTTTTATATATGGGAATTTATAATAATAGGAATGTTTTTTTTTTTCAAACACAGTGTTCATAATTGATATTATTGAGCATTGGATTTTTCTTTTTTTTTATTATTATTATTAATGCTATTTTATAGCAATCAACAAGACTGAGTTACATGTCACAGCATAGCTTAATGAGGATCGATTTAAAGAAACCCGGAAATCTACCAAACTCCATCCGCAATATACTACCAAAATAGTTTCACCAACAAGTAGAATAAACAACTAAAAATAATAAAAAATGTATCCTTGATAATGGTTAATAAAAGAAACGGAAGCGTTCGGATATTTAGAAAATTTGCACAATTTTTACGCACTTTATGTTTAGAAAAGAAAAACACTTATATGAAGAGAAGAAAGATTGAATGAAAATCTTTATCCCAGTCGAATGCCACTTGTCTTTAATGAAACTTGTATGAAACAAACATACCAGCTGTAGCCTTCGTTTGAGAGTCTTTTCGATTATCAAGTCCTTCTTGTCGGCTAGGTCTATGAAGGTCGTTGTTAATGGCGTTGTTAACACACACACACACACACACATATATATATATGCATACATATATTATATGTAAAACGTTTTCGTGGGATGATTTTCGTTCTCATCATCAGGCTACGTTTATATTCATGATAAAAACGAATGAAAGAGAAACGCTGATAATTTAAAATTTAAAATAATCCTTTTTCGTACTTTGTCATACTTTGCGCTAAAATTGTTCTTGATTTCTAAAAAAATATATTGTTATCGCATATATATATATATATATATATATATAAATAAATAATAATAATACAATAAGGGTAATCCGTATGGAATTTCTAGGCGTATATCGATCCGGGGAGAGCTCTATGTCAAAGACAGAGCAAAATTATTATTAATTAATGATTATCAAACTGTTAAAATCGCATAGGTAATAATTTTTATTTCAAGAGAGCTCTAAAAACCAGCTGTCAATCTTTCAGAATTACAAACAAAATCACAAATAAAAATGGGCAAAATTACTCCAAGTTAAAATCAAGAAATATTGCTATCTTATTTATCTTTATTTCTTTTCCTACTCTCTAAATAAGATAGCAATATTTCTATTTTTCTCCTTCCTGTCAAATCAGCCGTGGTGAAATTTGAATCCGGGTCTCATGGTTAGAAACGTTCTAACCACTTGGCCACGCCCCCCCTCACACACACACACACACACACACACACACACACACACACACATATATATATATATATATATAACAAGGACATACGCATAATAGATATAAAATAATTAAGCCGTGTTAAATAAATACACTCTTAGGCAAAAATTAAATAAATAAAATTGCTTCATCATTGCCATAACATCTATTGTGTCGTTTTCCATGGCCGAGCAGTAAAGGACACTGGATTAAGCGGTAATTTCCAGTACAAAAAAGCATAGAGAGTCAATCCTTACTGCGGAACAAATTTTTCTTCACATAGATTTATCGAATCCGCAGGTCGATATATGTAACACAAACACACAAACACAGAGACACAAATCATTACATATATATATATATATATATATATATATATATATATATATATATATATATATATAGAGAGAGAGAGAGAGAGAGATTTGTGTGATGAAGTGATATCGAAAGAAAGTTGTAAATTAAATGCATTAAAAATGCATCCAAAGTTCCGAGCCGAAATCAAAGCACCACCTCCTCCCGATGAGCCAATTTAAAATGCACGCAAGAATGGTTATCAATAGTGTCCACGTAACTGATGGGCTTCGTGCAATGAACAAAATCATCCATAGCAACAAGCTTGTTTCCCAGCCAACACTTCCTGCAATTTCTTCTCTTGTCTTTTTCTCTCACAGTCGAAACTAAAATTTCAACTCTTCTTATTGACCATCTTCAAGAAAATTAGAGGAAGGAAAAATATAGAGAGACATAAGAGAGGAAAAGTGAAAAGAGGATGTTGTCTCAGGGCTGTATGGGGCCTGAAAAAAGGGCCGTGAAATATAAGTAATGGACATCATTTTCATGTTATATTAATAGGTCTGTGGGTAGTAAGATAAATATTAACAGCGGGAAAATCTAGCGAAATATGTATATTTTTCTTGTCAGAAAGTTGTCTTGTAAGAATGTCAGAAGTACTTCTGAACAATTAGTGGATAAAAGGTTAGTAACGGTAGAATCATCGATTAGTAGAATCAGGTAGATAAGTATTTTTCTTCGCTTGTTTTCTATTTTTATTCTTTTTCCTCTTTTTGTTGAATTCTCATCGTTTTCGCCTATTTTCAGGAGACCATACGGACGTGCGGGTACCGTAACATGTTATCGATGTGCAAGATGTCGTCGTAGAAAGGGCAAGCAGCGTGATGAATTTAGATTTTTGTCCGAGTCGGTTTCTTTCACTTAACACTAATGAATTAGGAAAAGGTAAGAATCCGTCTGAGTCAAACTATGAGCTAAATATCAGAGCCCATTAGGCTCTCTTGCCTTGGGTGGCAGTCAGTCTAGGTGAAAACCCGCGTTAATAATCGGGCAGACTGGACTGTTTAGTCATGAAATGGCAACCAGTTTAGCGGAAGGAACATTCTGAATTCAAACCATCTTAAATACTAGGGAATATTGGATTATTTCGACTGTGGTAGTAGTCATTCTTGGAGGACATTCAAAACTAGCTTGAAGAAAGATGGTCTCCGTCAGACTATCTTGCTCTAGATACTCCATTGTTATTGTGGTTGTAGAACAACTGGAACCTCAACGGCCCTAATGGGTTACGGATCTCGCGATCAGGAATATAATACTCTTGGATGGCAACCAGTCTAGGAGAAGGACATGTTTGAATTCAAAACCAGCTTAAATAGAGATATGCGGCCCATCAGCTGACTTGGCCTAGAAATACACACTTCTGCTACGGTTTCATTTACATATCTAAAAGTCTACAATTCATCTATGTTTAAAATAATGCTGCCACATTTGGTCTGGTGCTCCTGCTATTTACCTAGAGCTCTTTGACAAAATCCAAAGAAGAATCAGCAATATTACTGGCCCCGTTCTGGTATCTCGGTTTCAGTCTCTTTCCCACCGCTGTAAAGTTACCAGCCTGTGCCTTTTCTATAAATACTTACTTGGTAATCTTTCGGATTTGCTCTTTGATATGGTAACAAGATATTTAAAAAACATTTAAGCGCAGAACTAGACTGGCGACGAGATATCATCAATTTACAGTTGAGCTGTCTAGATGTAGCCACTAATACCATTGATAAGAGTATCTGTCTATATTTCTGAGATGAGTTATTATGTACATTATTTACATTATTCCGACTACATTTTTGTCACCATTTATTACAAGTTTCAGTTTTTTCAGTATCTGTCTATATTTCTGAGATGAGTTATTATGTACATTATTTACATTATTCCGACTATTGTCCTCATCTTTGTCGCCATATTTATTACAACGTTTCAGCCTTTCAGTATCTATATTTCTGACAAGAGGTATTATGTACACTATTTACATTATTCAGACTATTATCCTCATCATTGTCGCCATATTAATTACAACTTTTCGGGCTTTCAGTATCTGTCTATATTTCTGAGATGAGGTATTATATACCATCTAGATTACTCAGACTATTGTCCTTATCAGTGTCGCCATATTTATTACAACGTTTCGGCCTTTCAGTATCTGTCTATATTTCTGAGATGAGATATTATGTACACTATTTAGATTATTCGGACTATTGTCCTCATTTTTGTCACAATATTTATTACAATATTTCGGCTTTTCAGTATCTGTTTACATTTCTGACATGAGGTATTATGTACACTATTTACATTATTCAGACTATTGTCCTTATCTGTGTCGCCATATTTATTACAATGTTTCGGCCTTTCAGTATCTGTCTATATTTCTGAGATGAGGTATTATGTACACTATTTACATTATTCGGACTATTGTCCTCATGTTTGTCGCCATATTTATTACAACGTTTCGGCCTTTCAGTATCTGACTATATTTCTGAGATGAGGTATTATGTACACTATTTACATTATTCGCACTATTGTCCTCTTCTTTGTCGCCATATTTATTACAACGTTTCAGCCTTTCAGTATCTGTCTATATTTCTGAGATGAGGTATTATGTACACTATTTACATTATTCGGACTATTGTCCTCATCTTTGTCGCCATATTTATTACAAGGTTTCGGCCGTTCAGTATTTGTCTATATTTCTGACATGATGTATTATGTACACTATTTACATTATTCGGACTATTGTCCTCATCTTTGTCGCCATATTTATTAAAATGTTTCGGCCTTTCAGTCTCTGTCTATATTTCTGAGATGAGGTATTATGTACACCATTTACATCATTCGCACTATTTTCCTCATCATTGTCGCCATATTTATTACAATGTTTCGGCTTTTCAGTATCTGTCTATATTTCTGACATGATGTATTATGTACACTATTTACATTATTCAGACTATTGTCCTTATCTGTGTCGCAATATTTATTACAATGTTTCGGCCTTTCAGTATCTGTCTATATTTCTGAGATGAGGTATTATGTACACTATTTACATTATTCGGACTATTGTCCTCATGTTTGTCGCCATATTTATTACAACGTTTCGGCCTTTCAATATCTGTCTATATATCTGAGATGAAGTATTATGTACATTATTTACATTATTAGGACTATTGTCCTCATCTTTGTTGCCATATTTATTACAACATTTCGGCCTTTCAGTATCTGTCTATATATCTGAGATGTGGTATTATGTACATTATTTACATTATTCGGACTATTGTACTCATCTTTGTCGCCATATTTATTACAACGTTTTGGCCTTTCAGTATCTGTCTATATTTCTGAGATGAGGTATTATGTACACTATTTACATTATTCGGATTATTGTCCTCATCTTTGTTGCTATATTTATCACAACTAGGACACATCGCACAGTGGATAAAGGCGTTACTTAGATCCTGTGACAGGACCCAAAGTGCGTGAATTCAATACCTGGTTAAGGCGGTGCAGAACTTGGAGAGGGGAATTAACAGGACATAACTGATAACTGACATCCATTAGACATGGCACGTGGAACTAGAGCAGTCTACCCCAGCGAGCGAAATAAAGAGTTCCGTTTGATATTCCAACCACCTGAAGAAGGACGGAGCCTACAACTGCTGAAATGTTGTGATAAATATGCCAACAAAGATGAGGACAATAGTCCGAACAATGTAAATAGTGTCCATGCTAACAGTTTCTTTTTTCGCACTACTTGCTTGTGGAAATCCCTTCCCGGCTTCATGCTTTCTAGCCAACTTTAATCTGAAAAAATTTAAATGCAATGTCAATCACTTTCTATTGCCCACCTCGTTACTTTTTGTTTTGTTCTTACTCCTTAGCAATGTTTCTGTTTCTAAATATTCCATACCAAGTAACCCCCTTGGATCTCCGTTTATTTACCGCCTTGCTTTAGGCAAAATTGATTAAAAAATGACTTTTCCCTACAACCTTTAATCGTTACAAGACAGTCGTCATCATATCTTGGACAATAGATAATGACTAAAGTAATTCCAAACTGCATAAGTGGTCGGTGTCCGATAGTAAATTAAAGTCAGGATTGCATATGCAGGACTTCTCTATCAGAAATATTGGCGCAACACAATCTTTCTCTTTCCTATACGAAAATAGGAAAATTGTGTCGCGATGAAGCTTTTAATAACTTCACGGTTAAATGCAAATAGCGGCCATTCCTTGAGAATTATCCTTGTTTTTTTTTTTTAATGATTTTCTTGTATTCAAGTTTGAAATACGAAAGGACAAATTTAAAAATGAAAACGACAAAGTTTATCAACGTTTTTTATTTCTTAAAAAAACAATTGTCTGTTTTCTTGTCTTTTCGTTCAACAACAATTAAACAAAATATATATATATATATATATATATATATATATATATATATATATATATATATATATATGGACCGGGTTGTTTTAATAAATCATTAAATTGAAGGAGTTGAAGGAGTTGTCACCGTGCTCAGAATTCCTCTGGATCAATATTTCAACATCGATTTCAAGCAGCTGAAATATCATAGACTGAATCAACCGTTCTCTAAAAATATATCTCATTAAACAAAGAAAATTTATCTAAAAATATCGTGACTACTTGTACAGATTTTTAGATGACAGAAATATTTCTTTTATATCTTTTACTTTGAAAACATTATTTCGGATTATCATCAACTTTCATCAAAACCTTCATGAGGTTGGTTAGGAGTTTATTTTACTAACCGGTCAATATTCGTGGTAATATTGTAATTTTTATCCGAAATGGAATACTACTAATGTATATAAAACAATATCCACAATCAAGAATACAGAGAATGAGTTTAGCCCTTAAAATGCGGCAAAGGTTTTTATGAACATTGTGGTAATAAAATAAGCAGATAGCATCTCCCCACTCGATTGTTACCATTCATAATAATAAAATAAACATTTTCAACGCTAAAGCTGAATTAGTCAAATGAAGCTTCATAAATTTCTACCTAGAGTTGTTAGTATATTAAAACGTGTACCCCAAAGAGTTAATAAACGAGAAAATCTGTTTTTAAAAGGTACTTTTCAAACTTATTCTCGCTTTAATTATCTAAAGCTTAACTGCATATTTATCGTGAATGGAATGGAGGAGAAAGATATAGATTCGTTGTAATAATAGTCTGAAAATTTAGGGAGACATTGCTAGTACTAATTGGGTAGATTTATTTTGAGAATTATATATCAGATTGTAAATATTTGTATAGGTTATTTAATTGAGTAGATAGTATAATTATTTCTTTCTTTCTTTATTATTATTAGGCCATCGAATTATTTTAGTCGGTAAATCTAGAAGGAAATCTTGATAAATTAGTATGAGTTAATTTGTAGTGAATGGTTTCGTAAATGAAAGTAAATGGGGGAGAGAAGTTATGTATGTGTGTCAATACATGTGTGTGTGTGCGTAGTTACATTAATGT